TCTTCGTGTTCATTAGCCCTTATGAAAAAGGTGTAAATTACCGCCTTACTTGTAGATTGCCTATTATGTAAGCTTCTGTTTGCCTATTGTCTATTCATTAACTTTGAACTAGTTTTGACGTGTACTTTGCCTTGGAATCAACATGATTTAAGGCACATTTTCCTTTTTTTAGCTAGCTCTGAAAGTTTTTGGCAAAATTCTGTCATTTATGAAGCCTAAGACTGTGGGTCCTGACAACAAATCAGAGGTTTGCATTTCGGTATGTGTACTTCTTTTGCTTTAGTAACTTTTCCCATCCTTGTCTGCGCTTGTTCATCCGTAAGATGGTAAACTGGCACGAAAAATCAAAGCTGAGTTTTAAGGTTGATGGAAATGAAGAATGGCATGCTACCTTTTATTGGGGCTTCTTATCCTTCAACGTTGAAACTAATTCGTCCTTTAAGCATCCAGAATACCGCCCTAAAACACTCTGAGGATCAGTTGGTGTCAAAAGACTTGCCATGGGTTGACTTATTCCTCGTAGACTATGAATGGTAGCACATTGGGTCGCATCGAGGAGTCAAGCACGAGCAGTGCGCTCCAACACTCGATCTCAATGTGCCCGCGGGTGGTTATCTCTTCAACCAATGGGTCACGACGTGACATTCCTCTCATCGACTACCGGGACGAAGTGTCGGGAAACGTTTATTCGAGTTACACTCCTACTGTACGCATTTGCCATGAATGTCGGCCTATTCTGTCCGAATTCCACAAAGTTCGCTACATCGTTGGTACAGGAGTCGACCATCCTCAAATGCGCGATGAAATCTACTGCCAAATCCTGAAGCAAATTACGAGAAATCCTTGTGTTTACAGCCGCAGCAGAGGTATCTCCCCTTGTTTCCACTACAAATGAACGGTTTTAAAGTAACAGGCTTCTCCCATTGATGCTAGTTCGATGTGTGTTTGTTTGGTTTTGCGATTTGGTCCTTTCTTTTTCTTCGTAATATCGTGCTCACAGTCAAATATGCTTTTAAACTTAGGTTGGATCTTGCTGATCCTATGCGCCAGTTGTTTTCCTCCAGCGCGTTTCGACACAGCGCTGAGGGCTTACTTGAAGTCTAACGCCTCGGATTACGCCAAGACGTGTCTTAAACGTCTAAATCGCATCCATCAAACGGGGCCGCGATCGATGCCGCCGAGTTACATGGAGTTGAGAGCTGAGCAGGAGAAGAAGAGCCTTGGGGTGAACGTTCTCTGCGCCAACAGTAATCGGGTGAGGGTCAAGGTTGATCCAACAATCACTGTGCAGGAGTTTAGCTCTATTGCTTTCAGTGCGGCTTCCATTAAGGACACCTTCGGTTTCGAGATCTTCATCGACATTATCGACAAGGTGAGTGTCTCCTCCATTCATTTCTAGCTTCCCTCTCCCTTCTCTTCATTAAAAATCAGGGTCATTTCATTTTTAGTTTGAAGCTCTGTCAACGGGCCCAAGGCACTTCTTTGATAGCATATCCCTCTGCGAGGAATATACACGGCGCAAGGGTCTGAATGAATTTGACATGCCCTGGTCCTTTTCTATACGCAAGACCATTTTTGCACCCTGGCATGACGTGACTTTCGATCCCGTAGCAACATCTCTCATCAGTTTTCAGGTTATTCAACAATGCTTTAAAGAATCACATGATTGTCTCGAGGTAAGTAAAGTACGAGGTATTTGGACTTAAGTGGGGCAACTTAGTTGATACGAATGCTATCCATATTACTCGAAGTATTTGTATTAAGAAAGAAGAGTTGGTTAAGTTGCCTCTGAGAAAACTTACTTAGTGCTTTTTAATAGGAGAACATAGTAATGTGTTTTATAGACCACATTTTGGTTCCGCACTAGAGCTACTTATACACGTTTTTCCCCCACAATGTTAATGAGTCTTGCCTGTTTGAAATGTTCGGCATGCTAAAGTTCTATAGAATACATAGTGGCGAATACTTT